TCGAATGGGAGGTTGCCATTTTCGGCCCCCCAGAAACTCTCTATGAAGGGGGGTATTTTAAGGTAGTTATGTTCACATATGTATACGTTTAGTTAATGTGTCTGTCCGAATACAAGCGAATTTAAGCAATATAAGCCAACGTTTTAACTGAAATTCCGTTTGTGACCTGTTTCAACATAGGAGACAAACAACTGCGACGAATGCTATTTTAAAATACGACGTATAAACTATTGTCCGTTCAAAGACAATTGACGAACATTTCGTGATATCATTTTGATGAGATCTGCTCGTTTATAATAATGGCTGTTAAATTCGGTGTTTCTTTTTGTTCCGACCTTCTGAATTAATAAGACGACGGAAATAAAACGGGTCAAATAACAAGAGCTGGTGACAAAGGAAGGCCATGGCCTCGAATATGTTAGTGTCGTCACAACAAAAACAACCAGATCCCTTTAAAAATAGGCTCTTTTTGTTGGATTTTACTTCGAAATTTAAATTCGCTTGGTTCTATCTTTTAATTTTTTATAAGAAATGGGTGTTCGCGCATGTTAAAATTATTCGTTATTTGAGACCTCCCGTTGACTTTTTTCGACAAATTTCGAACAAAAGAGTGATGAGGCACATCCGTGGTTATTCACTGGCAACGTGAGTCATTGCTTTTTCTAAGGAATCCCTGCATGTATATATTTTTAGGGACTTCGCTATAGAATTTGTGGGATGTGTAATATAAATGTTTGTAGTTTTTTGTGGAAGCTATTGTGTTCTTTCTGTGTTATTTTATTATAAATATGCACATCATTAATAATGCAATGAGATTGGTCAGGGTCATTGTGTGTTTGAACATAGTGGTTTGCTCTGTATTTTGAAAAATCATTGGAATTATGAAACCATAGAAATTTTAAAATTAAATTTAATGATTCTGTAGGCTGAATTAAATGTGGTGTTTTCTTGTATTGTATTCTCACTGTTGGTTGTTTGGCAAGTAAGTTACAATTATTTGCTTCTGTTCTGTGATAAATCTTGGGTAGAAAGTACCGGCAGGTACATTTAGATGACTGATTCAGCATTCAATCTATTTTTTTTTTTCAATTTGATCTCCAAAAAAATGAAAATTTTAGTAATTTTTAAGTGGAGATTGCTCATTAGTATTATCCTTTATTTTGAATATTTTGTTGTCCAGTAAAACTGTATTGACCATTATATTTTATAAGCAAATTTGCACACATCATGTAAACAAGTACATAATATTATACAAGCGTTTCAAATGCAACATGTTCTGTGAAAGTTAGATCCTCTTGTGTTGATGCACAGACTGTGTTCAAAGATCATAATTCATATTCTGATATGATAATTATTTATTTTCTTTGTTTCGTAGGCACGAATGAAATTCCCACAAGATTATCCATATTCTCCTCCAACCTTCAGATTTACATCCAAAATGTGGCACCCTAATGTGTACGAGGTAAACAGTTTTATTTATAGTAGCATATTCAATATTATATAAATTGCTATAAGTACTTAACCAGTGGTTTAGTATACTCCCCAGCCCATACGAGTTGAAGTGTAGACCAGCTGTGGTAGCTAATTATTCTTTATAGCTGGTGTTAATTACTTTGTTAATGTCAATTTTTTCTCTGTTTCGTGAAATTTAAGGATACGTTTTAAAAACCTTAGAGAATTACTGTAAACCACTTAATTTTGTGATTGCCGATTTTTGCTAGTCGTATTTTCAATGGGGCCCTAAAGCTATCAAGTCTCAACTGCTTGTGTGTAATGTTTTCCTTACAGACTCCATTACATCACCAACTTTGAAAATTAAAAGGTTAACAGTAAAATGTTTCTTGCCTGTTAAAGGCTAGTTTCAATTACTGGTTTAAAAAAACAAAAAATGTATAGTGTAACAAGACATTGGGTGACATTAATTGTCCACAAAAATGGCTATTGCATCACAACGACATGCCGAAATCCACCATACACCAACACTTGCTGATGTTCAATTGTTGGATAAAAAAATAAAATTAAAATATTTACAATACTAGGGAAACGGACGTAAAATCTTCTGCGGAGTCAAAACCTTGCGTGAAAACTGTCATGGCGTTGTGTTATTTTTTCCACTTAGGGAGGGGCACAATGGATTACGTAAAGCAGATGAGATATTCATACAGTTATACAAACATAGCAATCCCCATTGGGTGGGTTGAGTCTAAATTTACCTTTCCTCAAACCTTAAAAAAAAATACTCCGTATGACAGTTTTTCACGATTTCCGGTGAAATGGACTGTGCGAAATTAGACGACCAGGTTGAAATGGGCCGTAATATTTTGCTACACAACGGCTATTCACAGTTTTTGTACTCAATTGCTCAAACGCCGGTGAGAAAAAGTCGAAATGGAAGACAACTATTGTAAATCGAAACAGGTTTCATTCAACTCTGAGCAGACAAGACGGGTCGATAAAAATTAAAACGAACCCTGACCTCTGGAAATACCTCATTCATGGAGTGCCATAGTACCAGAGGTCGCCGAGCACTGCCGTACAATGTACTTTGCGACATCGCTACAGATGCATGCTAGCTGACAAGGGGGTTTCTGATTAAGGTAACCGAGATGGCATCGCAGAGTGCATGATTTTTCCACGGTGTTTAAAAACAGCATCTCGTTGCCGATGTTTCTGTAATTTTCGGGGTATTTTTAAGTAACGGAGTATTTCAAGTTTGTGTATTTTGTCACTGAAAATTTAGTTATCGATGACAGCACGGCAATGGTCTGAATGGTGTTTATCTTTTACTACATCGCAATGGTATCAGCACGGTGATCGTTACAGCGAAATGACAAATGTATAATTAGTCAGTTTTATAATGCCTTCAGAGAAAAAATGCGTGAAAAAAAAATATTTAACAGTATTCCACTGGAAGCTGCCAGGCTAGAAGTTGTCGACATGTTGCGAGATAAGGGTGAAAAAGTTTACTTATAATTTTTTTGTATTCCGCTTGCATGCTGGAAGCGTCTACGTCTTGTCTTTTTTTTAGCTCCGCTGTCGACTTTGTCGAGCGAAGCTTATCATATGAGTGATTGTCCGGTGTCGTCCGTGTCAATGTTTTACTTTTTCGACTTCTTCTTGAAAACTACAAGCCTGAATGCTTTGATACTTCGTGTATATGTACCTTGGGTAGACCTCTCTCAGATTTGTTCATTTCATGATGATATCTTCAATTCTCTAATTTTGGTGAATATTTTTGTCATTTTTGGTAAAAAGTGATATTTTCGACTTCTTGTTAAAAACTGCAAGTCCAATTGCTTTGATATTACATATACACATGTATAGGTACCAGTGTTCTCCCCAGCATTCAATTTGTGTGTGTGGCCGCCACGCTGCTTTTCCTGCCCGCCACTGTGGTCTCGAGCCGCCACGGTGATTAGTAAGACCGCCACAGTGCTTTTTTCATTGTTCATCCTGTGAACTGTATTACGAAATATAGAAAGAAATACGTAGCTATCAGGGATCTTGCCACGCTTCCGACAGGACTATTGTCCGACGTACCGACCGACACGCATCCTGCCAGTCGCGGATTATAATTTGTAAACATTAGACATAGTCGCACGATGTGGTAGTGGCTTATAAACAATACAAGTTAATTTTGTAAAATTAGCACCTCTTTGTTCGTAAGTAAATACTTTAACGATCGACGCAGTCTATAGATTGAAAGCTAACATTTTTTCAAAATCAATTCCACCCCGATATAACATTGGCAAAGCGGATTTCACGATCTGTTTACGCTACTCAAGAAAAAAAAAAACGTGTTTATTGCGTGATTGGGTAAAATACATTTGAACTTTTATCATCGTGAATCATGTAACAGTGTTCTCCCCAGGCTCAGAGGCAAGCATGGCGGTCTAATTTTCATGCTAATTTGCATACTAATTTGCATAGTTTTTAGGATTCACTCTCACAAAAACAAACATACAAGACAGTATTAAAATGCAGTGTTCTCCCCACATAGAACAAAGCATGGCGGCACCGCCATGTTTGGCGACCTGGCCGCCACGCTTGGGCTCGGACCGCCATGCTTACAACTTCACCGCCATGCTAATAGGATGCATTGTTTACATCCATTTGACCCACTCACACGTAGCACTGCATAAATTACACCGTCAACGCCATGGCGGTTTGAACTTGCCGGGACGAATTAAACAGTCCCATTGTTAAACACGTGTAAAGTACAGACGCTGTCAATGGGGAACAAATTGTCACTCGAGTTGCAAACACAGAGATGCACATATGACAAAACATGTAAAGGAAAAAAAGGTGATGCCGCCCGGCTAAAACGTACAATCACCGCTAGCACAGCACAGAAACGGAAGCGTGTAGAAACACAGAAACGGCGTGAGGCTGGTTTTGATGAGTCGTGGAAGAAGATATTTCCCTGGTTGAGGTCAACTTCAGATTGTTCAGGTATGATTTCGTAATTTTAGAAATAAAATGCCAGTAGGCGTTTGTTTTGCCGATCGTAATAACACCGAACATGGTAGGCCTACACCGATTTCAATCAACATCTTAGGCGTAAGGCTGGTATAGACACGGCATGAAAAAAAAAACATCATTCGTTACTGTCAACTATTTTTAGATTATTTATGCATATCTTCATAGATTAATGGGTACGCGTATGTTATAATTTGTTCAAGCAAAAAAAAAAATCAAATTTTTGTATTCTTCCGGTCACATGTTGACCTGTGTGGGTATTTCCAAGATGGCGGCCTCTCAACGTCTTGTGAACGACAGCTGCTATCGTCACGAGCTATGATCGATGGAATCCCGATTTGTATACATAATTCTATCGTTACGTTTTAATTTTAATTGAATAGTGACCTCATGTTTTTTTCCTCGAAATTCCCGAGTCCTTGTCAAAACCAACATGTAAACAACATGTTTTGCAGACGGTATGCTATCCATACGGCACTGGGTTCCCGATAGCGACACAATTCAATCGTTATGTTTACATTTATTTGAACCTCAATCCTCATTGTGTTTTTTTTTTTTATTTTTCATTTTTTCCCACTAGGAATGTTGTGCAGTTTATGCTCAAAGCACGTCTATGACAAGTTTAACTACAGTAAGGCAGCCAATTGACCCTAACCAGGGAAATGTCTTTTTCCACGATTCATCAAAACCAGCCTCACGCAGTTTCCGTGTTTCTACACGTTTCTGTGCTGTGCTAGCGGTGATTGTACGTTTTAGCCGGGCGGCATCACCTATTTTTCCTTTACATGTTTAGTCGTATAGATCTTGGTGTTTGCAACTTGAGTGACAATTTGTTCTCCATTGACAGCGTCTGTACTTCACACGTGTTTAATAATGGGACTGTTTAATTTGTCCCGGCAAGTTCAAACCGCCGTGGCATAGACGGTGATAATTTATGCAGTGCTACGTGTGAGCGGGTCAAAAGGATGTAAACAATGCTTAAACAAGTTGTAAGCATGGCGGTCCGAGCCCAAGCGTGGCGGCCGGGTCGCCAAGCATGGCGCCATGCTTTGTTCTATGTGGGGAGAACACTGTGTAAAAACTCTTCTTTCAAGACTTCTTTTACCTTTTAAAAATTGCTTATCACCCATTTCGAAAACCATCATGCAGTTTTCATCTGAAATCCATACCAACACATTGTGCTACGACATCGCTTTACTTCCGCAATGTAATTTTTATGATCACTACCATTCGGAAAACTTCGGGTTCTGCCGGCATTACCATGCGGTATTCTGATTGGTTAATGGCGTTTTTGACCCATCGGGTCAAAGGACACATGCCAGTCAACTAATACGTCACAATTATCATGGCGGTCTTTGTTTTTCACCGAAGCAATCGAGTGATCAAAAATAATCGCTCAAATTTTACGTTTATTTCATATAAAAAAATAAGTAACATTTTTTCATGGCATGACTGAGTATGAGGAATTATTGGTATAACCAGTGTATAACATCGTGAAGTAAGTTAAGTCACGTCGTAACTTTGATCGTTTGGAAGTGTTATTTGTTCGTTCATTACTGTAAATGTAAACGTTGTAGAAGCTGATGGTACGAATAATGAACAATTTTTTGAAGGAGAATGTTTTTGTAGTAAATAAGATCATGGAAGTCGAGAACATATTCCTGGCTGAAACGTTTCAAATGCGTTTCATTTAGCCTTTTACAATTTATTTGTTTGTTTGTTTTTAATAGTCTGCTAGTCTGCAGCATTTCCATTTCGATTTGACAATTTTTCATTTTTAAATTCAAACTCTTCTAAATTGTGAAACGTAATATTTTGACTCCAATAGAAAAAATATTTGCACTGTGACTGAGCTCATTAATATCCCAAAAGAATTGTGTTGATAACACTGTATGAAACAAATAAATATGTGCCACATTGTTTTTGAAAATATATGTTGTTTTTTATGTGGATGTAAATATGCTTTGGTCATTCTCTATTATT